TCGGCGTGGGCCACCCCAAACATTTACGTGTAGGTACCATGTGGTGCTTTAGGGCTTTCCGGGCCCAAGGTGGGGCCCTCAGAAGCCAATGAGGGCGGCGGGCGCTAAGAGACCAGGCCCAAGGTGAGCCTGGAGCCCTCAGGTAACAGTGTGAGCCCTCAGGGTCTGTGACCTGTGTCGAATCCCTAAGGACCCTATACGAAGGGACATAAGAAACATGTGTTGCGACCCTCAGAGGGACACGCATGAGTCGTGACCCCTGAGATGCCGGCTTGGGGTCAGCAAATTCTGTCGCCTCAAAAGCCCCTGTTTGTGTCAGCGCTTCAAACTTATGAAAATCGGCTATAAAATGTAAAATGTAATAGGTTGGTGGGGGGGCACGCTGCCCCCCTTGCCCCCCCCTCCCCCTGGCCCCCCTCCGCCCGTCCCTGTGGCGACGCTAATGAATAGGTACTCCCGAAGTCAACGATACCTATTTTATTTATTTTTATTTTTTGAAAATAAAAATAGAGGTTAACAGCTTTTATTTGGAAATGATTGTATTACTGCAAAACAGTGCGTAAGGTATCAAAATCCTAGGAGTTTTAGTCCCACGGGCCACGGACGGCCTTTCAAATGCGCGTGAAATGCGCAGCCCACCCGTATAAAGTAATTTATCAAATGCAGAGTAAACCCTCTAATATGGTAGCAAACAAGTGATGACTTCCAAATCCTGCGCCAGTTTTGACTTCAAAAGCAAACCACGCGCGCTGGTATCTAGGGACATGCCTAAGAGCTGGACTTTTTGCACGCGTTCCCCGCCAGGGGGCGCCACTGAGGGAGCACCCTCTGACGTCACGATAAAACTGCGCGCACTGCGCGCACGGCTCTGTAAGCAAGTAATATAGTGGTGGTTTCATGGTGGAAATTGGAATAAGTATTTTGATGTTGTAAAATTTTAAGCCGTTTTTGTGAAATTAATTAGTAAATGCATTTCAAAAGTATTTATTCAAAGTGTGGAAGGAGAATAATTAGAAGAACATGAATATTTTTGTTCCAATAGCTTATTATGTGAGACATGATCGGTACTGACGGGTACTTCTAAGAAATAGTGAAGAAGTACCAAACAGCCTGCTCGGCTACGATCGTCAGCTGTCCTTTGGAGCTGGACTTCAACGCTGTAAAAAAAATGTGTGCTGAATTAATTTTTAGTTTCACCAAAATATAAGCAATTAATCATTTATTTTTCACTTTTGTAATTATTGTTGAGTGAAGAGACATGTTGCTAGTTCAAACAATATAAATTATAAAAAAACGAAATGCGACGGTAAGTATCTGCTACTAAATTATCACTTTAACTAAATACATGGAGAATCTTGCTACCATTGTAAAACCATTATAAAACGTGCATATCAATACACAAATGTTCTATTTCAGACAAGAAGGATTTATTTGCCTGAAGTCTTGCGTCATGTGCTACTGCTTTGATTCCAAAGACGCTCTCCGGGTCGGGGTAATTTAGTTCTTCATCGATCGATAAGAGATTTTGATTCCATTGATATCCAAATTGATAAGCTCGGCACCATGGGGTAAGGGCGTCCCCACAGGGGTGACGCAGGAAATATGAATGGCGTTTACACCGACAGTAGTTTCCCACAGCCGGCAATGGGAATCTCCTGTCGGTGTAAACGCTACTATAGTCCCATCCAACTCAAACACTGGGGAATATCCCCGCACTTTTTGAGGACGGAAATCTATGGACCTGCTCGAAAAATAGTGGATAAAATACGGCGAGCTTTCAGTTTTATGGTTGGGTCTCCCTTCCGAGGCACATATTTACGAGGGATATTGGGTCATATTCCGGGCGTCCTGATGATCGGCGCCCAGCTCAACGTCGAAGGCGCCCTGATACGCGGCACTGCTATCTGTGAAGGTGCCCAGGCTGCTGCCGCTCGAATTTTGGTCGCCTACTTAACAAAACCTCCGTTGGTGCCATCTCAGTTTCCTCGAGGTCAGGCAACCTTCACACGCCGTTGGCTACCTTGGCTGGCCGGCGACTCGTTCCCCTCGTGGCGACGCTCTTGACATCCAGTCAAAAGTTGGAGTGGCTGGCGCCCCCAGTGGGGGCCGGGGAAGGGGCAGTGGGCCTCCACGTTGCTCTCTTCCCGAGCCTATGGTGACTTGGATCAACTCTCCTCAATAGAATCTGGACTCTGCACGCTGTATGAACATGGGCGTATTGTATTGTATTGTATTGTATTGAACAATCATGAGCGATCCACATTCTGAAAGTGCGTGGCGATTACTGCTCAGACACCACTACGGACAATACGGACACTGGACAGTGGGTGTGACAATCAGTGGTGCTATTCATATAGAGGGTGTCATATATGAGCGGAGAGGCAACAGTACAGCTGAGCGGAGAGACATCATTAAAACAACAGTACAGCTGGCGTTGCATGGAGCTGCAGGCAACCGGACAGCGGAAGCTTGCGAAAAATAAACAATTCGTCACTTCAACGTATAAACAATAGTAAAAGCAACATAAACACATATTCTCATGGTCGAACCCATGCACTAGCGGCTCACGGCGGGCACAGGCGCGCAGTGCGGTAGCGGTACCGGATCACACGTCATGGGCGTTGTCTCAGCATAGGTTGTTATGAGCGGAGAGGCAACAGCACAGCTGAGCGGAGAGACAACATTAAAACAACAGTACAGCTGGCGTTGCATGGAGCTGCAGGCAACCGGACAGCGGAAGCTTGCGAAAAATAAACAATTCGTCACTTCAACGTATAAACAATAGTAAAAGCAACATAAACACATATTCTCATGGTCGAACCCATGCACTAGCGGCTCACGGCGGGCACAGGCACGCAGTGCGGTAGCGGTACCGGATCACACGTCATGGGCGTTGTCTCAGCATAGGTTGTTCGCAATCTAGTTGAAGCCTAAGAAGACGGCCAGTGGGGTCTCACTGCTGCTGAGGCGACCTCGGAGACGATGCGTCGCCCCTCCTGTCGGCGACCTGCGGTGAGCACGACTCCAGATAGCTGTCTGGCACGTTGCCGACACTGCCAGACGCTGTCAGCAGGCCTCACTGCTGCAAGTGATGTGCAGATGGACGCCAGGTGACTTCGTCTGCAGGCGATTCCGGAGACCGCGGCCTCACCAGGCAGCGCCACCTGCATCGCCATGTCGGTGTTTCTAGAAATGGAAAAATAACAGTATCGGTGAAGGACAAGCAATACAATGTATTCTGTTTTCCTCTCTTGCATGCATACGTAATCTACAATTATCATTGTTCCTATCTCATTCAACTGAACCTGAAAATTCCATATTGGCACATTGTTTGACTAAATTTGTGTAGTTGGGAACAGGGGCGACGCCACGGTGCGACGACTGGAGGGGACATTGACCATTTTGGAGGGGACGAGGACCATTTCAAGTCGATTCTTTCCATGCAACGCCATAGGCATAATGTTAAAATTTTAAAAAGTGGAGGGGACGAGATCCCCTCCGTCCCCCCCCCTGTGGTGACGCCCTTGGTTGGGAAGCAGATTCTGATTGTTTGAAATACATGTTTGGCTGAGCAGTGCAGAAAATATTTCATTGATCACCATAGCTGCAACAAAAATACTGAGACAGAAAACATTTGCGCTTACCTGGCTCCTTAGTCAGTCCCGCACAACGGAAGTGGTACCATTTATCGCAGCCGTCGCATCCGACCATCGGTGCTGCACTGGTGCTGCTGCACTCCCCACATTCCCAGCACCTTAGGAGCGTCTTGGCTGTGAAAAGATTACATGAGTCATGGCGCATACATGAATAGTAAGATGTTTTATATGTTTAACATCGCATAGCAAAGACACAACAGCTGGGAGTCAAGTGTAAGGACTTTTGACAATGGTGTTTGAACTCAGTGGGGTGAGGTTTGGTTGGTCAAGAGTGGTCATTTTTAGCAATACTGTTTTTTACTACAGCTTTGCTAAGTATGACTACGGTGATGATGTCATAATAATCAAATTTGACCACCATTATACCAATTTTGCACCCTGGTGGAGAAAACACAAGTTTCAGGTTACGGGAAGTAAGATAGAAGTTATTCCGGCAGTTCTTAAAAGAAGACAAAGAATCTTGATTCTGGCTGTTGTAAATGGGGGTCCAAGGTTGAACAGAGCCAGCATTTGGTGCTGAAATTCAAAGTTTGAACACAATGAAAAAAGGTGTTTGATATCACTATAAAAGTTTATTTCAGGGGGAAATGGATGCATTCACGTAAAAGCGCACAAAAGTACTCTAGCAAAGTGGATTACTTAGGTACTGAAAATATCTTGCTCAACAGCTGTTCGGAATATCAAATCTGACATAAAGAATTTTCAATGGCCATTAAAATAATATCATATCACCATTTTCCCAGTGAGTGTTGTCATTTTATATTTTAGGCAAGAAAAGCTTTGCTAAAAATGATGCTTGACGAAGCCTCATCCTACTGGGCTGTCTGACATGTCTCCCTGTAAAAAAACATGTCGCCCTTATATTGTATATATGATGAATATGTTAATAATACAGAGAAAACACAGTATAAATTATACCCAACGTTTCATCTTAATCGACTTTGTCAAGGGTGTTTGAACAGCTTGAGATGAGTGAAGTGTAAGGGTATAGTGTACCTAGGTACATCTTGATCTGAAAATAAACTGAATCTGCATTCAATAAACATTGATTTTGATAATATATTTCACAAATCAACTGCTAATAACAATTATACTAAAATAGCACGACAGATAACTACCTAACCATCACATGAAGAACTTCTTGATTCTCCTTGACACTATTGTCGTCCGAACGAATGTTGTCTGAAGTTACACATTTGTCTTTTCTGCGCAGCATTTGTGTTTGCCATTTACCGCACCAATGTTCGCCAGCGGTGGTGACTTTTCCTTACCTGCTCACGAAACGTCACACACGACATGACGTCACCCGAAGACGTCATCAAAAAGTCCAGCTCTTAGGCGTGTCCGTATCTAGGGCCTTGCGCGCGCTTTGGTGGTGGTATTGGGCTTGGTATTGGGGTAAATAGGGCCAAAATAAAGCACTTTTTTTCTTTTCGGGGGTTTCTGTTCTCTAAAATCAACTTCATAGCTGTTCTTTGATAAGACTGTATGTGTTTCACGTAAATGAAATCAGTGTTTTCATCCAAAATTTGAGGTTTCTTTGAAGCAATTATTCACTGCATTGTACCACACTACCGGTATTTTTTAATGATTTTAATCATTTGATCCAAACTGTTAAGCAATGTGTGGCCATATGAGGTAGGCAGTATCAGGACTGCTTAGTTGAGGTATTGACTGAACACTTGGACTTGCTGTTTCTCGCTTGGAAATTTGAATTTCTATACTGATACTAAATACGATCGTTCAGGCAATGTGAAATGTGAGGAATCCCATGGGATTTTGCGCGAAACTGGCCTGCCCAAACACCTGTTCTCATGAGGAATTCTCTGCTGCAAATTCCCTGTGAAAAACGGCATGTCTGAATGCACTGTTTATCACCATTGTTGGTATCTAGACGGAATCATATTCAGTTGTTGTGTCCTAGAATTGCTTTTGAGCCAAGGTGTTGAGTGAAGAATCCTGACAGCACAATAGAGAGATGAGTAAAAATATGCAATAGAGCAGCAAATAAGGTCAAATAAGCGTGATTATTAGTTGTAGGTTGCTGTCCTGGTTAGTGGTTAGCAGTTGTGTAAATATTACACCTTGGTCGGGGAGACTCGCACAGCCTAAAGTTTTCATTGTAGTTGGTTGGAACTGATAAGTATCACAACTTGCCATAATGCACTCATCTAACAGTTACACACAGTTTGTTGCAACAACTTACTGTGAATCACTGGAAAAATTGGTGCTAGAGCCTAGGACACCGCGGCTGGACAGTGGACAGAACACATATTGCAATACCCATGCCATTATTTCATTGATAATTTTATAGCATGCTTTGCAGGTGCTGCCACGTATACTGCCTTGCTGTCACCTACTTGCAGAAAGTTCCTAATTCAAGCAGTTCTTGAGATATTTGCAAGAATTTCCATTTATTAGTCTTGTAAAATAGTATCTTGTAGAACAAAACATAATATAACCTGACCCAACCTTTCCTACTAACCTAATTACCTAAAACCTAGGCACCAACCTTCAACCTACCAACCTACAACCTACAAACCTGCAACCTGCATACCTACACTATAACCTACAACCACCTAAAGACCAAAGACCTATAGTGAAATTCACATAAATATCTCAAATGTAAGTAATTGGATTGACTAATGTAGGTAATAGGTTGTTTGAGAACATCATCCATTTGCTATTTGTGGTAAAACAATCCTTGTTCAGATAAGTAGGTTCCCACTGTCTTCTTGCTATCTTGCTGCTATATGCCTGACCTGTAAGGCCAACCGATGACCTAGGACCTTAACCCTCGCCCATATTGGTGTTTTTCCAACCGCGAACGTTTAAGTTGCGAACTTGCGAGAACGCGAACTTGCCGTTTCGCCCCTGATCGAGCTAGAGCTTCGCGGAAAAAAAAACGAGCGTGTTGCCCGTGACGAGAGGAAGCCGATGATACCCAATTTTAACCCTCGCCGGCCCAGGGGGGCGGGTGCCCCCCCCCCATAGGGTTTTTTTCTCGATAGCTCCGAACACGCTGGCGATAGAGAGCTGAAACTTGGCATACCTGACTTTTGATTCAAGCCGGATCTTTTGACACCAACCGCATTTTCGGGTCAGGTCAGGTCACTGACCTATGACGTCATAAGTGAACCTCTGCATGGTCTTCAGATGTCGCAACTTCGCAATGCCCTCACTGCCAGAAGAGCTTTCACAGGGAAATGAAACTTGCAGGATCTAGTATCCATTACAAGTCTCTCAACGTGTATATCTCGGATTTTTCCTAAAGGTTATATGAGGTCAGGTCATTTTTGTGACCTCACCATTATAAGTCAATGGGGAAAAATAAAAACGGCTATTCTGGCGCCGGGAACGATATCCAACTAGCTCAAGCGCACAGAATCGTGATTTGATGCACTCCTTGCAAGGTTAGATGCGTCACTTTTGCAATGTTGACCTTGCGTGACGTCATTTATAACGTCATCAAGGTCATATTAGTTTTTCGTCAATAAATCCCGATCAAATTGAGCTAGCGAGTCGGGAAAGCCACCAATGGACTCAGCAAGACCTGCCGAATCGAATGATATGCGACATGACCTCTTTCGACCAACTTCGTGACCTGGGGGCGCTGACCTGACCGTGACCTGAGGTCAACACCCTAAGTTGACCTGACCCAAACAAAAAGTATATCATTCGACGCGCCTGAGCGAGGCGACTACGATGCTGCCAAAATCGCGGCTCTGCGGCCTTTTTTGGCGAAATTATTCACCAAAAACTGAACTGTACCTTGGGGCACTTGACCTGACCTCAAAGGTCACCGGTTGACCTAGGACCTTAAAATCAGGTACCAATCTCTGCGTCTTGTAACGGCGCACACGCTCGTTTTTTCCGCGACGCGCTAGCTCCACCAGGGGCGAAACCTCTTGGCCAACTTCGCCATAGCGGGGGAGGGGCATATTTGCCCACACCAGGTTATCTCGAAAAGTGAGAAAGCTACATAGCCGCGGAAAAAGCAATAGATAGCTTGATCTAAGATCTTTCAGAAGCATAAAGGTCATTTTTCGATCAGGTCATCGCTGAGGGCACTAAAGGTCACCACAAGTAAAATCATCACGAATTTCGGCTCCCGATAATGACAACCTTTCACAAATCGGCGCATACCTCGGGAACAAATAGAGCTACAGCGCCGCGGAAAGGCGCATTCGATTGTTCTTTTAAAGGTCTGTGTGAGTACTTTCTCAGAGTTAACCTAAGGTTAACTCCAGTGGGCAAAAACTCAAAATTTCACGTTTTCTCGCGGAAGACCTTTTGCAACAACATTTGACATTAAGCTTGTATTACCTTTATTTTACCGGCATCGCGTTTCTCTCGTCGAGACGCGTCGAATGATTAAAAGTTGACCTCATGTCAAGGTCACGGAAAAGGTCAATTTGCATATCAATCGATTCGTATCGTTGAGATAAACACATCCAAGATGTTTTCAGAGCCTACCATGTTTTTATATGTCGTAGGCATCGGCTGAAATCCGATACCGACGAAATTTCGGCATCCCGGATTTCAGAATGTCGGCAAAGACTGAAATCTTTGTAGAAATACGCGCGGTACAGCGCATGCCTGAATTTTTTGGCATTTAATGAGATGCCAGGCGGAGACCAGGCAGTTGCTGAAATATCGTCGAAATTAACTGAATGCACTTGTTGCCTAGGCGTTACATCAAATACCTAAGTGACGACCAACTGGCACGTTCTGTAACGATTACCGCAGATGTGCGAGTTCCCGCGCCTTTTTTTTGCATCCAAAGGTTTTGGCTGGGCGCCAAACATAACCAACACCACCTTATTCAACCTAGCCTAACCTACTCTTCGGATAGCACATTACGGTAGGTTTGATGTTATGTAGTTGTAAGTAGGCTTTAGGTTAAATGTTAGGTTGGGTTAGATTATCCCGCGCGGGGCTGGGGTCTCCAGCCGAACGCGCGGGGCTGGGGGGGGGGGTAAATTTTACCCCCCCTGTTATCTCCCGAACTAATGGTCCGATTTGGAAAATTCAAACGCCAATCGAAAGCTCTCATCACGAACTACTAAAAACATGTACTTAATTTAAAGTTTGAGGTCAAGGTCAAGGTCAGGTCAAGGGTACAAATTGCAAGTTTCTACAGTATCGGCCTTGCACCGTAGTTGCCGAAGAATGGAGTCATGGACTGAGACTGATCGCCCAAAACGTGTTCTTAGGCTACCAAGACAATATTCGTTGCATACAATATCATTCAGAGGTCAAGGTCAAGGTCAGGTCAGGTCAGGTCAGGTCACCAAAAAACAAAATATAGAAAAGGGCATGTGCGACACATGTTTTATGGGTCATTTTACTCATAGAATTCAATAGGCACACTCAGTAAGTGATATGGACCACCTCTGGATGAATTTCAGGTCGAGGTCAGGTCAAGGTCAGGTCAAGTGAGGTCAAATTTTGAAGTTGGTTGTTAAGGCCTAAAAAGGTGTCTATCTGATGCAGTTTTTCACGGCGAATCGAATGGTGCTATTTTTGTTTCCGTACGAGGTCTAGAACGTCCAAAAAAGTCATTTTTCGAAAAATTTGTGTGTCGTGACGTCATAAAATTTTGAATAACTCCAACATTTTTGAACCGATTCTTCTAAAATTTGGTATGTAGGTGCACATAGACCACTTCTCTGACATATATTCCGGTTTTTTCGATAGACTCAAAATTTTGGATTTTATAATGATTTTCCCAAAAAAGTCAGTTTTTTGAAAAAATTTAGGCCAAAATCCAAAATTTTCAAAAAACCGAGATAGCCATTTGATAGACCAAGTAAAATTACGTATAAACTTTTTTGTTACGTCTTGATTCCTTTAAAAATGAAGATGTTAGCGGCGTTTGAACTTTTGCCGTTTTTGAGTCGAAAATGGCGAACATGACGTCACTAAAACGTCAATTTCTCACAAATTTACCGACGGATTTCGCTCAAATTTTCAGGGAACGTGTCAAATTGATGTAAGAAAAGGTACTGGAAGTTTGGCGGCGCTGCGCGCCGCCGTTTTTGAGATATCGCAAAAATTCGCGAGGGGGGGTAAAATTTACCCCCCCCCCCAGCCCCGCGCGGGTTATGTTTGGGTTGGAAATGTACATGATCCGACGGGTTTTGAACCCGTCACCTCGTCACGGAGTTCAATATTTGGTATCATACACCATCATCCCGTTCCGCCGGTGATATTTGGATGCAAAAAGTTCACGGGGACACACATCTGCGGTAATCGTTACATAAAGTGTCAGAACCAATTGGGCATTTCATGTAATGCCTAGGATACGAGAGCACTCAGTTAATTTCGACAATATTTCAGCGACCGCCCGGTCTCCGCCCTGCATTCATGAAATGCCAAAAAAAGCATTCGCTGTTTGCGCGTATTTCTGCAAATATTTCACTCGTTGCCGGCATTCCACGTTATGCCTAGACATTTCATGCACTGCCGGATTTCAGCCGATGCCTACGACAGATACATGCCTGCTCTGCATGATTTAATTGCCTCAGAAACTTAGCGTTATCTACCTGCCGCCTAGTGCATATCGTGAACAGAGCGATGTCCTGCCCGCGACCGATGGCTGCACCACCATGCGGAGATTTGTAGAACTATTAGTTTCTAGGTTCTTTGACGCCAGAGATCACGATGTGTCGCTCGCCGTCTGAAGTGGTTCAGCTTTGAGGGGTTGAAAAAGGATCGCAACTCGCATGCATCCGTTCCATCGTTTCCATTCTCATGGTACTCAAATCATTCTCCTTTACACCTCAACCCCCTGATCCGGCCTGGAGGTCACCTTTATCCCATGCATCCCAGGAGTAGACCCGTAGTCGGGTGCGGTGACCGTTAGCGGGGCTGGGTGGCCTGTCCACGTGATAGGCTCGCTGCTCAGCCCCGACAGAGCACAAGGATGTCCGCCCAGGTCAATGTCTCATCCTAATTCCTATCTTCCTTCCGGCTCTGAAATGGTCTCGTTAGACCGGAAGAGCGCAGCCCAACAAAACAAAAAGCATACCTATTACCTACTACCGATAGTTACTTGCTATTGACCCATGACCTATGCTAATGTTCCTTAGTGAGCAATGAGCATCCATTGCGCCTTGCATTAATCGTAACAGCAATGTTTTTGGTTGAGCCGCAAAGTCATCGGCTGGTATAACATGAGACTTGTCAGCTGTTAGCGCTAATGTTTTCTCATCGTTACAAATCGTCATATCCTGTCATAAACCCTACTCAAAGTGGAGCTAATTCAGTGTTTCAGTCGGTCACAAGCATATGGATGATGACGATGTGGCAGGGATGAGAACTGAAAAGGGATGTCCGGCTCAAATATATTCTGTCGTCAGTTTTGGATGCCGACGACGATATATTACCGAAGCAAGTCCTTTCAAGTTCTGTGGCGTGTACCGAAATATTCCGAACGCATACAAATCCCATGGTGCATGCTCTAATGACTATTACCCACAGCCCATTTCTGTATTTTATTATGTTTCGTCAAACCTGAGTAGCGTGTCTGTTGTTCTAAATTTTATCTGTTTCGTTGCAGAACATGTCACCTATGTGAAGCTGAGATGTTCTCAGCTGATTTTATGGTCAACATACCTCTTTGTTGTGGACACAACACTTGATCATTGGTCTGAGTTATTGAAGCTATAAAGCTGAACTAGCGGCACAGGAGGGTCGCCTTTTTTCGGTAAGTGTTCGTCGTCACGGAAATTTGGGTATCGGTTGATCATCATTTTGTCTCTTTATGGACAACAAGTGCATTAAATGTTGTCCATCTTGCTCATCTTCCTTTATAATTCATTTTCATTGTGCACCATTGCAAGTCTTTTATTTTTACCTACCTGATGTTTGATATTTACTTATTTTGAATTATACCTAATCTAGTCTGCACAAGCGCCAGCGAATTACTGATAACTTGGACCTTCATACGGCTCCTCAGCATTACTGAATTATCTTCTGGCCGGCTTTGGTGAACTGACGCTTACTCACGGACAAGTTTTGTGTACCTGATCATGTCTTTCTGGGGTTACAGGATGGACGCAGTTCCAGCTCCCAAGTTTCGGGTTGTGCCAGCAAATAGACTAGGTAATTATCCAACTTCACAGGCTTGTAGCAGCGAGCGCCGCGGCTTGTAAAACGGAATCTTCGGTGCTCATTCGATGTAAGTTGGCTAGTGGTTCTCAATTACGAAGGTGTTTATGCTGTATTATTTTGAACAGTCCTATCCTTTCGATCCAGATCATGTGTATTGTGACTATTTAGAATATTTGCTTTTGTATTGACAGCAATTGTGAAAACGTATTTACGGTCTTTGATCTCTTGAAAATTGTAAGTACTCTAATTTTAAAGTTGATAGCTGCAAATAGTTTGATAGCGACTAAAGGGTGACTGATGATGTAGGTTTGACTAGGTCTTTGAGCGCGAGTTCCTTGTTGCCCAGCTGCCGGTCCACCGCTCGCCGGTCTCCTTACACTGTCTATCGCTCTCTGTTTTTGTTTCAGCCCAGCGACTGAACTCACAGCGCAGGGGCTCACAGCGACTCAGCCTGACCCGGGCTGGCGCTCGCCGCGGCGGGCGGGTGTCACGCGTCCTGCCGCGCTCGGTGCAGTGCGTGGTCAGAGGTCGCGCCGCCGCTACCGATAAGTCCCGTGGACGCTACAGAACTCGTCAGAGCGAGAAGCGACGCGCCGCGTGGGCGGCCGCTGCGCTACAACACGAATTCCACGCCCGACTGGCAGAGTACGACCGGCGCAAGGGGTTGCAGTCAGTCCACATGGATAAGTTTTCAATGTTGGAGGTGGTGAGCGGTGCAGGTCCAGGCCTGGGCGCTGCCGATCCGGACCTGGAGGAGGCGTTTCCGCCGCTGGAGCTCAGCTGGAGTTGCGGACAGCTGGTAGGCGACCTTGATCGACGCGGTGGTGATGATCCTGCTCCCCCCGCTGCTACAGCAACTGTGGCCGAGCCTGCTTCTGTGGCCGCCCCGGGACCACCCGCCGCTACAGGGAAGAAACCTCTTACCGACAGGGCTGACGCATTGACCAACAAGATCGGACCTTTGGCCGATAGTTACGAGCCTGTAGCCGATAGTTACGAGCCTGTGGCTGATAGGTCCGAGCCTGTTGCCGACACTACCGTCCAGGAGTCTTCTCAGAGCTCTGGTCCCAACAGCTCATCATCATCATCGTCGTCCTCTTCTGAGTCATCAACGGCCGAGGATTCATCAGTCTCCATCGACTCTGAGGCTGGACATGAGGGCGGTGTCACAACTCGTCAAGGAAGCGCTATTAGCTCTCAGAGTGGTGACAGTGGTAGTCGGGGTGGTGTCACAACCCGTCGGGGAAGTGTCGCGAAATGTCAAAGTGGGGACAGCAACAGTCAGGATGCCGTCACAACCCGTCATAGCGGTGACACTAACAGCCACGGCGGTGAGACTGAAAGTCAGGGAGATGAGACCAACAGTCAGGGTGGTACCCGTAAGAGCAGCGTCACGGACTACCAGGGTGGCGTGAAAACCCGTCGGAACAGCGCTACGGACGGCCAAAGCGGTGTGAGAAGACGTCGAGGCAGCGTCACAGACCGTGACGATGCCGTCAAAGAACGTCGCGACACCGTCACAAGTCGTCAGAGCAGCATGACAGACCGTCAGAGCAGCATCGAGGCGTCTGCGTCTCCCGTCTCCATCAGTGTTACTTCTAGTACCACCGTCACTTCAGGAGGCACGACTCTACCGACCACTTCAGTGAGCAGCAGCGCCACTGCGTCTGCTAGTGCGGTTGTTACCCCAGCTCCAGCGGCCGTCCCAAGCACCAAGGAGACCGTCAGTATGGACGTGTCTTCAGATGCAGTGTCTGTCGTAACCCTCAGCGACACGGAATATGTCCGTACGGATCTCACTCCACTCCCAGTGAATGTCGCAAAGATCAGGACCTCGCGCGGTCGGGGCGCCAGAGGCTCTCGACGTGGGCGCATCTCGACCCATGGAAGAACGGATCTGGCTGTGACGACCGCTGTCTCCACCGCTACTGTCCCCACCGCAAGCACCACGCTGTATGTTCGTGGTAGGGGCAGCAGAGGTGGTCGTCGCGGGTCGACCTCAGGAACTGTGATCCCAACTGTGGCCGCATCTACCCCCACAGCCGATGCCGTTCCCAGTACCTCTGAGGGAACCATGGTCCGGCCCACCAGCTCACCAAGTGTGTCGATCATCTCAACCCCTGGAACAGCCAAGACCACAACCCCTGCTGTGGCTGTGGTTACGACGTCATGGAGAACCATTGCTCCGCCTCCGACAGGCGTGATCTATGGCTACAGGAGCATCCCTTTCTCAGATGGATGTGTCTCATTGCTATCACCGCCAGGCAGGATGGTGCTGGCTGGAGCACGCAGTCAGAGCGCCACCCCGTCCCCCAAGACCAGACCATCACAAACGGGACCCTCAACACCGCTAGTTCAGCTCCCCGTGAGCTCATCCAGCAGTCCCGGTGTGTCTTCTCGAACGGCGGAGGACTCTGCTACCGATAAATCATTCGTGGCTGAGTGCCAGCGCAGAGGTGTCTTCCCTCCGCCGCCTGGACCGGCCCCTGGCCCGTACCGCATGGTCAGTGTGCCCGGAGTGCGCGGTCCGCCGCCTCCCGGCCACCAGGTGATCGTGGTCCGCTCTGCAGGCGGACCCGCCGGAAGCACGGTACGTTATGTGATGGTGCGCGGTGGAAGCCGCGTCACGCCTGCCACAGACACGGCCGCTGCTCGCGTGAAGGCGGCTAGTCCGCTGGACACGACGGCGATGCAGCAGGGTGGTGGTTCGGGGGCGCGACCCCCAGCGCCGGTGACCCTGGCGCTGAGTGGCGCAGACAGGGTCGGTAACGGCGGTGTCGGTGACGGCGGCTGGCGGAATGCCGCCGGGCCGGCAAAACGGAGCGACGTGCCGGCCGCGCCGCTGACCTCGCCCCGTGTCGGTGGTGGTGGCGACGCCGCGGCGGTCCCACACACGCTACCGGAAATGGGAGCTGGAGGTACTCCGAGATATGCCACGGTCACCTCGAGACCGGAGTCGCGCAGTGACCCGGCGGACTCTGACGTCCCGCTGTCGAGGGAGAACTCGGCGTCGTTTCTGGACGAGAAGCCGTTCTCTCCCCGGAGTCCGAAGAAGCGCAGCCTTCCGGAAGATGGTGATAAGCCGGAGCGGAAAATGAGGTTAAGGTCCGGCCTTCGCCTGGCGGGCTGTCCACCCCCTGCCAAACAGCCTCGCCTCACTGCGACTCGCATCCCGCGTGCCGCTCGGCAGCCGCGGCAGCCGCACCGCTCTCAGGCACCGGTGGAGCGGGGCAGAGGGCGAGGTCGGGGCCGGCCGCGGAAGGTGGTGCGCTCTCCGGAGCTTCCGGAGCCGGTGGTCCCCGAGCCGGTGGTGCGCGAGCTCACGCCGCAGCGACCGCCGGCAGTAGCACCGAGCCGCAGGGGCCGCGGCAGGGTGGGCCCGCGCCGCGCCGGCGCCCCCCGGCAGCGGGTAGACAGGAGGGCGGCGCTGGGTCGATCCCCCTGGTCACTCGCCATGCTGTGTCGGCAGGTCATCCAGGGACCGACCCCGCCACAGGCGCGACGCCACCCTACCCCGGCAGAGCGGTCACTAGCCAAGTGGAGTGACCCACCACCCACCGCAGCAGGTGTTACTACTCACCACCAGGTCAAGAACACCGCCCCGTGGGTGCAGCGTCTCTCAGAGAGCGATGAAGGGCACCCCACGCGCGAGCCTGTCCCGGAACCGCCGCCTCGCTCTGTGAACGACGCTGCCACTGCCACATCCCCTTCGAAAAGCCTGAGTCACATTGATGAGCCTCAGCTACCGACCCCGGCCATTACGGAAATGGCAGCCGTGGCTGAGGCGACGGAGAAGATCGACGCTGCGCCTACCGCGCCTGTGCCAGCGCTGGCGACTGACAGGGAAGAGCACTCTGAGGCGACAAAAACGACAGAGGAGACTGTTCAAGAGACGGAGTTACCGCCGGCCACTACCATATCAGCATCATCGGCGGCACAGGCGGTGGCTGCCTGGCACGGTTTGATGAACATGTCGTTATCCAGCGTGCTCGGACCGGAGCGCGGAGGGCCGGCTGGCGGAGCGAGCAGCGCCGATCAGGCTAACGCTCCGCTCCCCGCCGGCCTGTCGTTCGAGGGGGTGTCGGGTCTAGTATCCGACTCCGGCGGTAGTGACGGTGAGCTGCAGAATGATAAAGACAGACAGGAAGACAGACCGACCGAGGATTCACGGCAGGAGATGGATCCCAGCGGCGGAGAAGCTTGGAGCGATACAAAGCGTAGGAGCGGCACTGACCGCGGTCAGGTCGCAGAGTTTCCGGAGAGGCCGGTGGAGCCCTCTGGCGAGAAGGACGACCAAAGCGACTTTGAAGGAGAGACGGGTTCCGCGGCCGCCCGCCCGCCAGAGCCCGAGTCTGCGCTGAACACCAGCTGTCCAGAGCAGCCGTGTGAACCGTCGCCGATCAAGTCCGTGGCTGTAGATCGCGAGTCAGCCGTGGCCGCTGATGTCGATGCCTCGAGTAGCGTCGCGGAGAAAACCGAGTTCTCCCCTCTCCCGTCGGACACCCAGACGCGCGACCGAACCGGATTCAGTTTCTCCACACCGATGACGCTCAAGGAGAGGACTGGGGATGCGCGCACGAGCCGAACTCTAGCCCAGGAGATGGCCGATCTGAACGCTCCAGCGGACACCGATTGTCCAGACATGTGCGGCCAAGGCGAGACTTTGATGACCTCCAGCGCAGTGGAACTGGACGCCCTCATCGACCCCGCTGCCAGCGGCTCGTTAACGCTCAACACCTCCACCGGGGCAGCCACCGCGACCACCACCGCACCTACCACCGCTGGGCCCCCGGGACCGCGCGGCGAGCCTCCGATAAAAACCTGCTCCTCCAGCGCGGAGGAGAACATGTCGGCAGAGGAGCTGTTCCTGCCAGATCTGAGCGACGACTCGCCGCCGCCGGCCGATGAGACTCCGTCGCGCTGGCTGCAGGCGCGTGTTCTGGTGAAGCGGGCCACCTCTCGTCAGGTGCGGCTCAACTGCAGCCCGCCCAAGGCGAAGACTACTACTCCTACCAAGTCGACTGGGGCTGCTGACGGTGGCGAGGGTAACAGCAGGTGAGTCGAAAGAAATTATGCTTGTCGTTATATGCTCTCTTTACCGAAAAGCTCCTGAGCATTTTATTTGTGTTTTGCTGTTTGGGGTTTAAAGCTAACGTTTTGTGACATGAAACGTCTTAGTTTTTATGATAATGTCACTGGGATGCAATCTAAATCAGAATCGATCAGCTCTTCATAAAGTATAAAAAGTGCCGTGCTTCCACTATCTTCCGTGACCTGTTCCCATCGTATCGCCCCTCTCAGCCCCCGATCCATTGTCCTGTCTCATTCCGACACCTCTCCGCTCCTCTCCCGCAGCGCCCCTGCCGAGCGGTCCGCCGCGCCTGACACGGCCGTCTCACCGGGTGACAGGGTGCCCGGACCGCCACGCTGGAAGTGCCGCTTCTGCGAGTGGTCGGCGCTAAGCTCGGCCAGGAACGCCATCCAGCAACACCGCGCCTCGCACAAGAACTGCTGCTACCGATGTCGGGTCGCCTTCAGTACGAGGGTGAGTGGAAAGGGGAGTAGGGGGAGCCACGACAGTAGTGGGAGTAGGACACGTTTGTGTGACTGTCCAATGTCCATATAAGATGCAGATTCGGAAATATTGGAGACTGATTCATTACTGTCCAATTTTCAGTTAAACTCCTCGTTAGGATTTACTCGTAGTGAGCACCACTTCATTTTGCCTTAGCAAATGTTATTTGCATACTGCCGGCCAAACTACATTAAAAGGTTGCCTGTATTGTTTTTCTATCCGGTAATTATTCGTTATCACCGCCCGTCATGACGTCGTTCTACATGTGGTTTATGCAGCCCGTCGACAGTGTCGCTGCGGTCCAATACGATACATCGCAGTGGTTTTCGGTCCAGCGCAATAGCTCCCTACGCATCTGTATACTCAGCCTGTCCCATCCCACCCGTCCACAGGAGCAGATGGCCGCCCACCGCAAGACTGCAAAGCACCTCGGCAAGGTGGAGGAATCCAGCCGCGGCCGTGACACCGGCAGTAGTGCCAGCACCACCACCAGCAGCACCAACAACACCGACAAGAACACCAACAGCACCAGCACCGGCGGCGCTGGCGGCACCACTGGTGGCGGGGGCTCGCCACATGTGTTTTACTACTGCGGCGTGTGCCAGCGGAAGATCCACGGTCGAGTGATGATAGACAGGCACTTTGTGTCCAACGTGCACCTGACGCGAGCCGCCCTGTGCCGATCGCTGCTCAAGGACGTCAGACGCATACTGGAGAGTGAGTCGGGTGCTGGGATGGGGGAGGGGGAGACGGGACTGGGGTGTCAGGTTGGTAGGTCAGAGAAGATGACAGTGGGGTGCTTGGATGAGAGCTGGGTGCACCTGGTAAGGGCAGACCCAGAGAGACAAAGCAAGTGGGACATTAGTTATTATGGAAGAGGATAATGGATTTTGTGTTTCGTCTCTAGTGGACCAATAGGAAAAGGATTAAGCAAGCCACCGTGATACGTGCTGAGATTATAAACATGATATAACTGCCCCAGATCAGCTTGGCCATTTAAAGAAATAACAGCCGTTTTAGGTGTCCGTATCAGCTGCGCGTAACTGGTCCATTTCTGTTGTGAGGTGAAGCCTTCAAGAGAACGTGATGCCGAGGAGTGATCCATGCTGTACCATGATTTGCATATGCTTTGTCGATTTCCTTTTTCCAACACGACGCCCTGAATGTCAACTGTTTAAGTCAGTGACCTACGGTAGCCAACAATCACGGGCATTACTGTTATTTGTACTTAGTCGCCGTCGCCGTATCACCCCTTCACGACAAACACTCAACACTGGGTGAGCGCCAGTTCCCGCCGTGACCCAACGCCTTACCCCGTGCCCCCAGACGGCGGTGACGGCTCCAAGTCGGACGTATCCACCGGAGATCTGTCGGAGATGGTGCGGGAGGTACTGGGTGACCAGTACCACGATCTGAAACTGGCCGCGGCGTCCGGGGCGGCCCGCGGAGCGGCCGGCACCGACAGCAACAACAACGTGAGTGGGATGGATGGGCGGGTGTTGTTGGCTTGTTGATATTACTCTATTCGTGATCACTGACAACGAGTGGAATGCAGAGTGGGGCGAGCGGCTCACTGAGTGGTGAGGCATGGGACTGAGCTAGAGTGTCCAGACACAGTCCACAGTCCAGTCCAGTACTACTGTTATCTGTGGTTCAGAAGCCAGTTTTATCAACAGAAAAATAGCCGGCTGCCGTAATTTTTCCCCAAAGATCGCTTCACATACGTGATGGTAAACGTGATTGGCGTGTAAGCGGATAGGGTTTTACCGTTTACGCGTGTGAAGCGGTCTTTAGGCAAAAAATGCCGGCAAGCGGCTATTTTTCTGTTGGTAAAACTGGCCTCAGATTTAATAAATTAGAATCGTCCTTTACGGTGTCCTTTTACGGTGTTTACGGTGTCCTTTACGGAGTAAGGTCAGGTCAAGATTCACGGAGTAGTCCACTGGTATCGCGGTCTGACCATACCGTCCAGCCCGCTCCTTCCCTAACCCGCCGCTCCACCGGTCGCTGGGCTAGGTACTCTCCTACCCTCCCTTTCTCTTCTTTCTCTTTACCCTCTCCTTCTTTCCCTTGGCCTCCGGCGGCTAATAGACTTCCCCTCTCCCTACGGCCTACGTCCTCCTCTACATATCCCAGGCTGCTGCTGCCCGCGGCCGCTGCCAGTTAGGCAGTGGATTTCATTGCTGGCGGACTGATCCCCCTTCCCCCTCTTCTCCATCAGCAGGCGACTATACACAGCAGCACCACCAGTCGCTCAACCGAGCTGAGTATGCCGGCTCTCTCCGAGGTCATGGACCGACTAGTGACCGTTATGGACGAAACCGAGCCGCCGCCCCCGCCCCCGCCACCGCCACCTGCAGCGGCACCAGCGGCTAACACGGCGGCCACTGCCAGACCGAACTCTGAGGTGAGACGTGAACGGAAGGATATTGTGCTGGTTTAAGAACAGCTTAGTGCTGAGTCTGCTGACTTATATTTGTTTTGTCATTGAAGATGGTGATGCCTGCATCGTGGATTTACATGAAAGACGAAGGACGTGATTTAAGAAAAGTAATGCTGATTTGTCATTTCGATCTGTATTGGTGCAATTGACTTGCTTTTCACATTTCTATACTTTGGTTGTCGATTCGAAGTGAGATTATTTTATACACTAGCCTTTCCTTTTTTATATTAGGCATTCGCTGACGACTAAGTTTATTCAGATTTAGGATGAGATCTGATTAAGGATCAACATTATGGAGCTTTTATCAGCACATTTCTTCTCTTAGCCCTAAGTACCGGCTCTAATCTTCCTGCTGTAAAGACTTCACCGTCCCCTGTGTTTGAGTATGCTCTCGCAGCGGCGTCTCACGTCCTCCCGTTTTCCAGGCGCGGCCGGCCGCCAGTGTGCCGTCGTGCACCGGCAGTTCGGCCGGTACCGGTGCCTCTCCGTGCCAGCGAACGGCCGCCAGCGGCTGCCGCTGCCACGAGCCGACCTCCAGCTGGGGACCGCCGCGCTGGCCGCCCCCGCCCGGAGCCTATGCGCCGCCGTCGGCCGCAGCCGGCGCACCGCCGGCGGCGGAGGCTCGGCCGGCGGCGGGCTACGGCGGAGAACCGCCCCCGCCCCCGCCGCCTCCGCCACCGCCCCCGCCGCCACCGACTTCTGGCTACCATGGCTACTGGGGCGCGCCGCCGCAGCCACCAGCGCCTTACGGATACCCACACGGCTATGGGGGGTACCCGGGGACGTGGTACTCGCCGACACCCCCGCCGCCGCCGCCGCCTCCGCCGCCTTTATACGACCCCGGCTACTGGGCGTACCGCGGCTACCACGGGCCGTACGCGGGCCCAGCGTACGGAGGGTACGAGCCGCCACCGCCGCCGGCGCCGGCCGCTGGCTACCCGGCCGGACGCCAGTGGCAGCGCTGGGACGGTGGGGAGGCGGCGCGCGGGCCGCCGCCGCCGCCGCCCCCGCCACCGCCGGCGCCGGCCGCGGCGCAGGCGGCCCCGACACTGGAGACTGCGGCTGTCCCTACCCCGCCGCCATCGGCCTCGTCTGTGTCGTCCACGGCGTCTCTGGCGCCGCTGCAGTCGACCGCAGGCGGTGGGGACGAGTTTGAGAACATGTGGCTCCAGATGGTGTCCAGGTAGTGAGAGACGTAGACTCACTGAAGAGAAGTTCGGCCATATTCGGTGAACGGTCGATGCTGGAGGGATTTTGGAGAAGTTTTTGAAGCCGAGAACGTTGGACGATGACTGGTTGCAAGCGCGTTGATGCAGTTGTTTGCTGGAGCTCTGGAAGACTATGGACTCTGTTGGTATCTTCAGACTAGCGCAGAAGTTTGGAAGTAGTCAAGACTACGGCAGAAGTTAGCCGAGAACTGACGAGGCGTCGAGTGCTTCGTCGCGTTGACTTGATCAGTGATATCGTAAGGTCTTTCCTGTGAAGGCTAGGAATCTGACTCGGGAATCGTTGGCTGTGGATACGGAGCTGCATCCAAGCAGGAAAGATGTGTGATAATACCGGACAAAAGTGTGATTTACGTGTTCGACTGTGATCTCAGAGACAATGTGATCAGTTCTAATCAGGGTTTGGTGCGACGACGTTGCATCGTTTGAGCTGTGAATCTCACAGCACAGCTGCCGTTACCCATCGTGGCGCAGCGATGTCGGCAGCGAAAGCCTTCGGCGGGTTTTTGGAAAGAGATGTTCCTTCAACCTAGCCAAGGTAAAGATCTGACGAAGTCGTTGGTGCGTTGCCCAGTGTGGCAAACCATGCACAAGGTGGTGCATGTTGGATGTTTGGCCAGCCTTACCGTGATACTGCCTTAGTCATAATGAACCAAAGCGGAAGCAACGAAGCTAGTTTTAAGTTATGAATGTAATCGAGAAGTTGTTTGTTTCGTTCTGTTTTACTCAGGCATCTGCACCGTTGTTTGTTTCAAATACAGATGTTACTTGTTGCTAACCCTTGTGATAGTCGAGCTCATCTGCATTTGACCGCCGTCATCAAACGCAGATATGTCCCAGCTTTGTATCTTGTTTTTCCTGTTCCAATCGGCTAGCGCAAACCCATCTCTGCGTAGTCGCATCACTTTAACCCAACACGAAACTCGTGATACTGTTCAGGAAATGTGTATTTTCTTCTTCCTGGGCATTGTAAAAGCGTATACAGAATGTGCAATGATTCGATCTAAGGATATGTTAACTATATAGACAGGAATGACGAAGTAAGCGAGTACTTTCGCTGCACAAAGTAACGATCACCGTCTGTAATGACACCACGAATGTCAGATAACAGACGAGATAAGAGACTAGCACATCCAGACACTTCAAGTAGTGCAGTGAAACCAAGGCAGTACACAGTCAGTAGCTAAGAATATTCACCCAGATGACTGATTCACCTGTCTAGGTCACGGTGACATGGAACAATCAACAATAGGATAGAGGAGGAGCTACAACACCCTGAAGATCACGTCACCCCGAGCTGCTTCTCCACGTACCTACACACTGTACAAACTGCATAGCGGCGCTAGTCGCTACGCCCATGATCACCGTCGCCCAGTATAACTGCGCCTGAGCAATTCATAACAATCACGAGTCTGCATTTGATTTCAATCGGTCTGTCGTTATCAGCGCCTGTCAGATACTGTATGAGAAGCGCCCCTCATACAGTCAGGTAATCACACACATTTCCACTGTAAGTCAACGCACATCTCATCAATCACTGCCTGTATTGGCAACTGACCTTAGTAATTACTGCCCTCTCCGACCCTAGGGCTACCCAGTACACTTTCAGTCTACTCAACACTCGCAGTCACTGGCCTGTGGCCTGGCAACACCTTCAAGACGCGCAGCTACTGTGAATGAACTTACCAGCACGGACGAATTTCGAGCACACGTTGCCGATCAAATAAAGGTCAAGCTACACGGGACACTTTTTCGGTTTTTGATTTTTCGGTTTTTCGCTTTTTCGGTTCGATTTATCGCTTTTTCGCGTCGGTTTTTCGATTTTTCGGTTTATCGCTTCGTGACTTAAGTTTTTCGAGTTTCATTGATTTTTGTTTACTTGGAACGCGCTGTGCAGCCGCCAGCTCTTTTTATTTTGTTTGCAACCAGTGGAATGCGTTGGTCCCAGTTTTCCTAGGGGCTTTAGGGGTCTGTTTTGTTGTCTGTTTTAACAGGTGGAAATTACTTAAAATAGATCTCGTCTGTTTTGTAGAAGGAAATTGGCTTGACTAAACTTCCAGCAGCTACTAACCGGCGCCCCGCAGGGGCTCCTGGATTTCCACGCCCTGCTGGTAGGGGGAACACCCCTTCTAACTTGGCTCCTGAGCTACGTAGCGACACGCCGTAGGCGACACTTGAAAAAGCTAAAAAAAAAGGATCAAACTGCTTCGGCCATTTTCAGGTCAGCTGTAGGCCAAAAAGCAGGTCACCAAAGGTCATCGAAGGTAAAATGTCGCCAATATCTATAGGTCAAACTTCGATAATTTTCGACAAATCGGTCCATAGCTCAGGAATGGATAGAGCTATAGCGCCGCGGAGAGGCGCGATCAAACGTTCTTTTAACGTTCTTCCGCTAGCATGTCCTCATATTTGACGTAAGGTCCACGGTTTATCCTGCAGGGACATAAACGTCCAAAATAGACGACTCTGCAAAAACAGTTTTTCCGCAATAACTTTTGACTCTAAACTTGCACGAGCTTTTCTTCACCAGAAACGTGTTTCTCTGGTCAGAAGCTTCGAATGAACCTTAACCTGGCAGTTGCTGGGGTATTTCGCCACCCACCGTTTGCTGGGGGGGGGGGGGGGCGTTAAACGCCCCCAGCCGATAACTCGAGAACCAATAGGCGCAGCGAAACGCACAAGGCGGCAAACGAAAGAGCGCGACGAGACGCTTCAGATGAGTACTTTAAATTTGAATTTTGAGGTCACAGGTCGGGTCAAGGTCAGGTCAAACACCTGAAATCGGGCTTTCAGTAGCATGGACTTCCGGACTTCGCAATGGGCGCCTCTCGTCATAAACTCTGTCAAAACGGTGCACAATCCATCATATAAGGCCTACAAGAGTGTCAGCTGCATGTAGGGGTCAGTCAAGCATAGGTCAGGGTCAAGGTCAGGTCAACCGGGTAGGCACATATCCCCGAAAATCAAAACTGATATTCGCAGCCTGTGACGCATGTCTTATGGGTAATTTGGGGCGTAGAACACGATGGTGACATTCATTTTATCATATGTGTACGTGTTTGGCTAAAAAAGTTCAATTTAAGAAATGCATGTATCAAGGTCGTGAAGTAGTCACGAGAAATTGCCAAGATTCAGTTCAAGATTTTGGAAAATGCGGAACGATAATCAATAATCGAAGATAGCCATTTGATTGTTCATGGTATTGTCAGTCTAATGGCGTCTACGGCATGTCTGTATGTCTATTCTGTGATTTTATATGATTTTTTGAACATATGCCGTTTTTGGTCGAAAACTCAGAAATCATGACGTCACTAAAACCTCGATATCTCAAAAATTTTCCGACCGATTTTTTTGAAACTTTGTCACAATAAACTTCAATCAATTCCCTACAGGTACCCAAAATTTAGCGCGCCTGCGGCGCGCCGTTTTTATGCTATGGCCCGGCGAAAAAAGTGGGGCCTTTAACGCCCCCCCCCCCCCAGCAACTCGCGGGTTAAGCTAACTAGACTGGTCTAGGTCATGACCTGGCCGGAAAGTTCGTGATACATATCAGTCGATTTGTATCGTCCAGTGGAAGTTTGGAACACATCGAATGTGTTTTCATCGCTCTATAGTAGCATGCCTTTACCGAAATTTATTACCGAAGATTGTGCATACCTTTCGCGACCTGATATGACCTCAGGGCATAACAAGGGGTCACGGGTGCCATATTCCGGTTCATTGTGTCATGTGTACCTACTTGCATAGGCGTAGGAACAGCTGGAACATTCTGGGTGCAGAAATCCAACCATCGCCCGTGGAGCGGGGGGGGGGGAGGGGGTTAGGGAGAGGCACCGGGTATCTTATTCTCTCTCTATTTTGGACTGTATATCGCCACCGATATTAGAAAACGGTTTCATGCGGGAGGCTCATTGCGATCTTCGAGGGGTGTACGCAGTAGCGGCGGAACACCTTCAATTAACAGAGATGAATTGACCACATCTGGATGAATTTCAGGTCGAGGTCAGGTCAAAGTCAGGTCAAGTGAGGTCAAATTTTGAAGTTGGTTGTTAAGACCTAAAAAGGTGTCTATCTGATGCAGTTCTTCACGGCGAATCGAATGGTGCTATTTTGTTTCCGTACGAAGTCTAGAACTTCCAGAAAATTCATTTGTCAAAAATTTTGTGTCGTGACGTCATAAAATTTTGAATAACTCTCACATTTTCGGACCAATTAATCTAGAAATTGGTAAGTTGGTGCACATAGATCACTTCTCTGACATATATTCCGTTTTTTTCGATACACTAAAAATTTTGGGTTTATAATTATTTTCCCAAAAGTCGGTTTTTTGAAGAAAAAAGTTTTGGGCCAAAATTCAAAATTAAAAAAAAAACGAGATAGCCATTTGATAGACGAAGCGGAATCACGTATAGCCTTTTTTTGTTACGTCTTGATTTCTTTAAAAATGGAGATGCTAGCGGCGTCTAAAATGTTGCCGTTTTTAGGCGGAAATGGCGGACATGACGTCACTGAAACGTCATTTTCTCAAAAAACTTCCGATGGATTTCGCTCAAATTTTTAGGCAGCGTGTTAAATTGATGTATGACAAGGTTCCGAAAGTTTGACGTCGCTGGTGTGACGCGTTTAGAAGTTATTGGCGAAAAACGGGAGGGGGCAGATTCTGCCCCCCCCCCCCCAGCGGGGCGCGGGCTAGCAGGGCGCGGCTAGAAGCATGATGAACAGGTTTTACAAAAGATGAAATAAATGCGTGCATATATCTCGCATAATTAACCGCTATTCAATCCTTTCACGTGGATAATATGTGCATACCTACAATGAAATACTATTGAGCGATTACATTCCTTCCTTTCCATTAGGAGTACCGAAATGTGAATCGTCGGAAACATGCATCAGTATTACCACATCGTCACGTGCTGAAGCCAAAAAACCAAGATTACTTGGAAAAGCTGATTGTCGATCCAAACTTTTGGGTTGGACGAGTCGCTTCGTTTTTTCGCTTTTTCGATTTTTAGAGTCGCTTTTTCGCTTTTTAGAGTCGTTTTTTCGATTTTTCGCGTCGCTTTTTCGAGTTGCTGATTTCGTTTTTTCGGTTTCGCTGCCGTGGAGCTACACCAATGTTATCAAGTGAAGTTGATCGTCTACTGAAGCCGAAAAAGCGAAAAAACGAAAGGAAAAACCGAAAAATGTGTGCCGTGGAGCCTGTACTTAAGAAACGAGTATGTTCTACCTACACAAAACCCCGATAGCCTGCATGCGAGCAATATAATGAATACCATGGCTGCTCTTCGTTGGTAAAAGGCCTGATGGTAAGCAAAAAAAGCAATGGTAGCAAACACAAAAGCAAAAAATAAAAAACGAGAAGTGAAAGCACAAAATGAAGAACAGTTAGCTTAGCTACCCTTAAACAAATATAACTAAAAAATCAACAATCGTTGCATGGTGATCGCATATGTTGACCTGTCATTTATCCACCTGCCACGTTATCTATTAATCAGTCATATGTCATTTACCCGGCCTGCACTTGGATAAAAATCAGTTGGAATGCGTCTCAAATTCAACATAACCATCACAAAAAGCACACTTCAGCGGCGCTGGACGCCGATTGCTACAGTCCTCGTAGCCCGGAGGTCCGTTATCGTCTACGCACAGACTCTGCCGAAGCCTTCCGTGGGTCCAACAGCAGCTATCACACACAAAGCCTGTTGTGTGTTGACTATAGGAGCAGAATCGACTCCAACTTCTAGGACTGCCCCTGCTCCTGCGGTGACGCTAACGCCTACCCCTGCCACTCCTACCTCGCCACTCCTGTCCCTCCTGCTGCTCCCGCGGCGCCTACAGGCGGATTTTGGTGCCGCGCGGCAGTGCGAGGCGGACCAGCGCGGCGGCCGCCCCGCACCGACACAGCCATCATCTGTGTTTGCGCCGCTTCTGCGCCAGCTGCACCGAGCCGGCGTGGATGAGGGCCAGTCCGAACACGACCAACACCAGGCCAGACCACCAGAGCACGCCCAGCGTCTCACCAAACAGCACCTGAAACACCGTGAGGGGTTAGATCAGCAACAGAGGAAACCCAGCGTCTACCATACAGCACCTGGAACAACGGGAGGGGAGGAGAGCTAGCACCAGAGAACGTCCAGCGTCTCACCAAACAGCACCTGAGAGACCGAGAGGGGGGGGGGTCAGACCAGCACCATGAGGTACCACGTGGTCTGACCATCAGAGAACAGGCTGCTCTCGCACGACGGGGCGGGATAGGTCAGCATCGCCCGATCGGTGAGGGGAAAACACTACGCTGCCATTGTAAGGATTCTGACCAATTGACTGACCACGGTATATGGCCGAGCGGCAAAGTTGTTGATGACGGAATATATTTAAACATTCAGTTACTAGTTTCCTTGGAAGCCACCAGCCTTTATTGACGCCCTCCATCCAATGGCCCTCCCGATTCCGTACCACTGATATGGTTGGTTTCTTTCAGTTAACTGGCTGATGATGGGGCATGGTGAAGTTCCCTGGGTGATAACTGACATCAGTACCTGGCTGATGACGCGTTGTAGTTACCTGGCTGATGACGGCCGTGATGAGCATGTTGGAGGCGGTGGTGATAACGATAGCCTCCAGCGAGGATGCCGAGTGTCGCAGCGCCTTGCTGAAGGTGGTCCACAGCAGCGCGTTCACCAGCAGCGTCAGCACAAACATGGCCACCCGGAACAGGGTCACACGCTGTCGGCGGAGCGGGGAGGTCACAATCGGTCATCATTGGTCAAACCGGTTACAATCGGTCATAAGCAGTTACAGCCAGTCACCATCAGATCTGAATAACGTCGAAAACGAGCTACGAAGCCGGCGGAGCAGGGGTCGGTCACAATCAGCCACAATCGGCCATAAGCAGCCAGCCAGTCACTACCAGATCTGAACGACGTCGGAAAACAACCATAACCTGCCAGCGGAGCCAGGGGGAGGATCATTGTCGGTCACAGTTAGATCACAGACGCTCGATGGGATCAGAACACATAGTAAAGTCAGTCACACACCTGTCGGTGAGGAGGTCTCTGTCGGTCACCCTCGGTTCAGGCACGGCTGTTCAAAACCGGTCACAATCGGTTACGATTACAAATCCCTATCGGTGATCACCGATCACTGCTACTAAAGACTACCACATGTGTAAGTGGTCACCAACGGCCTCACCTCATCACAGAATCCCAGCTGAGGCTGCACAGCGCCGGAGAACATGAGGAACTTGGAGACCACCAGGCAGAGCCAGTGGGCCTCGCTGTACGAGGCGGCAAACTTGCCCGTGAGGCCGGCGGTGGCCGCGTACAGGCCGGCGTGCGCCGCGTGCCACACCCCCATCGGCTGTTGAGGGGAGGGAGGCGGGGAGGGGCAGGTAACACGAGTGATAGTCAGTTGAATAACGGGTCATATGCTCGGGAGAGATGAGCTGATGTGTAAATTTGATGCTGCATGAAATGGGCTTGTATCTAAACCAAAATGTTTCATGCAAATTGTGTGTCATGAGGAGATCTCAAACCATTTAAAGCATTTCCTATATATCTGATTTATGTGTTCCACATAGATACATAACACCTACCCCTTGCATTTGCCAAATTCACACACAGACTTCCAATCTATTGCTGCAACACAACACTGATTACTGAATGCATGAAACCATGTAAATATCTATCATTCATTTTGCTATGAAACTAAATATGTGCAGTGAAACAAAGTGGAATCAGTTTATCAGCTATGGTTGGAAGCTGAAATGCACAGCAGATAATACACATACCTGCATTTTGTATGCACCAAGTGCAGGAGCTTCTACAGGTATTTTATTAGGTTTACGGAAAATAGATTAGCTCAAAATACCACTTGAGCTCAAATTTGAGTACCACCTGCAAAAAGTGACATATTGAATGAGACACAATATCAATTCATCAGCTTTGCTAGCTTTGAAACTTCCCCATGTTTCCTTGTTCTGAAATATAAATATCTAAAAAAAAGTTCAGTGCATCTGGGGATTTCTAAATCAGCTCTTCAAAAAGGCCACTGGCCCCATGTCTAATTTCTAAATCAGCTCTGCCTCTGACTGTCTTCACCTGAGAAACTTTGCTTTACCTTATTCTTCAAATAAGGTTTGTGCTCCAGGGTGAGGGTCAGAATAAAATTAAAACTGACATATCAGGAAGCCAGGTAAATAAGTGAACACTCTTCTCTTTTTTCTATTCTTCCATTCCTCTATTCCAGAATGTTGTAGCAAGCTTGAAATTCCAGGAATGGAAGGGCAGAGTTGTTACAGTATAAAAAGTGCATCAGACTAAGGAACTTCTGTTACATTAATATATTGCTGGTTTATTTCTCTGCTCTTGTTATTTTTTTACATTAAAGCAGGCTAGTCTAGCCTATAATACCCATATTGGTCTAGCCAATAGCCATGGTCCAGCCCAATGCATTAGTACAACCAGCCAGTTCCAGTATCTATAGCAATATTTGGCTAGTGGTCAGGCTCCTCCTACCAACCACTAAGCATATGTTCTAGCCTGTTTATGCCTAGTTCCAGCTTGTTAGTCCCTCCTCTAAACCTACAGTTATGGGACGAGGTAGTAGGTAGGTAGTTAGGTACCAATATTCATCCCAGCCCACCAGGCCGAGGCCCTCAACCGAATCCCCCACTCCCCAGTGCTAGAGCATGTCACTTGTCCCAGCATGCCAGTCTTCTGCCCCAGTCCACCAATTATTTTAACCCATTAAAAACCAGCTATCTCCACTCTCTGATACTCCATGGCCGGTGAAATTTCAAATGCTAATGGACTATCGCCTCCACTGGCGCCAAAGAAATCTTTAATCATCCATTTGGACCTAAATTTCTTCCTCCAACCATGCTGCGCCAAAATTTTGGCACAGTGTATTTAGGGCCTTGGGCACAGTTATGCTGGGCGCTGCGCTGATATTTTGGTGCAATCGCCGGACATGTCAATGCCGTTTTCGGACATTACGCCAGACATGGGACACGCCTAAGAGCTGGACTTTTTGATGACGTATTCGGGTGACGTCATGTCGTGTGTGACGTTTCGTGAGCAGGTAAGGAAAAGTCACCACCGCTGGCGAACATTGGTGCGGTAACTGGCAAACACAAATGCTGCGCAGAAAAGACAAATGTGTAACTTCACAACATTCGTTCGGATGACAATGTCAAGGCGAATAAAGAAGTTCTTCATGCGATTGTTAGTTATCTGTCGTGCTATTTTAGTATGATTGTTATTAGCAGTTGTTTTGTGAAATGTATTATCAAAATCAATGTTTATTGAACGCAGATTCAGTTTATTTTCAGATGTACCTAGGTACCCTTACACTTCACTCATCTCAAGCTGTTCAAACACCCTTGACAAAGTCGATTAAGATGAAACGTTGGGTATAATTTATACTGTGTTTTCGCTGCATTATTAACATATTCATCATATATACAATATAAGGGCCACATACTTTTTACAGGGAGACATGTCAGACAGCCCAGTAGGATGAGGCTTCGTCAAGCGTCATTTTTAGCAACGCTTTTCTTGCTTAAAATCCAGTCTGCAAAACATGGCAGGGCTTCAGCTTACACTTTGGCTTACACTTGACTCCCAGCTGTTGTGTCTTTGCTATGCGATGTTAAACATATAAAACATCTTACTATTCATGTATGCGCCATGACTCATGTAATCTTTTCACAGCCAAGACGCTCCTAAGGTACTGGGAATGTGGGGAGTGCAGCAGCATCAGTGCAGCACCGATGGTCGGATGCGACGGCTGCGATAAATGGTACCACTTCCGTTGTGCGGGACTGACTAAGAAGCCAGGTAAGCGCAAATGTTTTCTGTCTCAGTATTTTTGTTGCAGCTATAGTGATCAATGAAATATTTTCCGCACTGTTCAGCCAAACATGTATTTCAAACAATCTGCTTCCCAACCGAGGGCGTCGCCACGGGGGGGGGACGGAGGGGATCTCGTCCCCTCCACTTTTTTAAATTTTAACATTACGCATATGGCGTTGCATGGAAAGAATCGACTTGAAATGATCCTCGTCCCCTCCAAAATGGTCAATGTCCCCTCCAGTCGTCGCACCGTGGCGTCGCCCCTGTTCCCAACTACACAAATTTAGTCAAACAATGTGCCAATATGGAATTTTCAGGTTCAGTTGAATGAAATAGGAACAATGATAATTGTAGATTACGTATACGTGCAAGAGAGGAAAACAGAATTCATTGTATTGCTTGTCCTTCACCGATAATGTTATTTTTCCATTTCTAGAAACACCGACATGGCGATGCAGGTGGTACTGCCTGGTGAGGCCGCGGTCTCCGGAATCGCCTGCAGACGAAGTCACCTGGCGTCCATCTGCACATCACTTGCAGCAGTGAGGCCTGCTGACAGCGTCTGGCAGTGTCGGCAACGTGCCGGACAGCTATCTGGAGTCCTGCTCACCGCAGGTCGCCGACAGGAGGGGCGACGCATCGTCTCCGAGGTCGCCTCAGCAGCAGTGAGACCCCACTGGCCGTCTTCTTAGGCTTCAACTAGATTGCGAACAACCTATGCTGAGACAACGCCCATGACGTGTGATCCGGTACCGCTACCGCACTGCGTGCCTGTGCCCGCCGTGAGCCGCTAGTGCATAGGTTCGACCATGAGAATATGTGTTTATGTTGCTTTTTATACTATTGTTTATACGTTGAAGTGACGAATTGTTTATTTTTCGCAAGCCTCCGCTGTCCGGTTGCCTGCAGCTCCATGCAACGCCAGCTGTACTGTTGTTTTAATGTTGTCTCTCCGCTCAGCTGTACTGTTGCCTCTCCGCTCATAACAACCTATGCTGAGACAACGCCCATGACGTGTGATCCGGTACCGCTACCGCACTGCGTGCCTGTGCCCGCCGTGAGCCGCTAGTGCATGGGTTCGACCATGAGAATATGTGTTTATGTTGCTTTTTATACTATTGTTTATACGTTGAAGTGACGAATTGTTTATTTTTCGCAAGCCTCCGCTGTCCGGTTGCCTGCAGCTCCATGCAACGCCAGCTGTACTGTTGTTTTAATGTTGTCTCTCCGCTCAGCTGTACTGTTGCCTCTCCGCTCATATATGACACCCTCTATATGAATGGCACTACTGATTGTCACACCCACTGTCCGTATTGTCCGTAGTGGTGTCTACGCCCATGTTAATACAGCGTGCAGAATCCATATTCTATTGAGGAGAGTTGAGCCAAGTGACCATAGGCTCGGGAAGAGAGCAACGTGGAGGCCCACTGCCCCTTCCCGGCCCCCACTGGGGGCGCCAGCCACTTCAACTTTTGACTGGATGTCAAGAGCGTCGCCACGAGGGGAACGAGTCGCCGGCCAGCCAAGGTAGCCAACGGCGTGTGAAGGTTGCCTGACCTCGAGGAAACTGAGATGGCACCAACGGAGGTTTTGTTAAGTAGGCGACCAAAATTCGAGCGGCAGCAACCTGGGCACCTTCACAGATAGCAGTGCCGCGTATCAGGGCGCCTTCGACGTTGAGCTGGGCGTCGATCATCAGGACGCCGGGGGAATATGACCCAATATCCCCCGTAAATATGTGCCTCGGAAGGGAGACCCAACCATAAAACTGAAAGCTCGCCGTATTTTATCCACTATTTTTCGAGCAGGTCCATAGATTTCCGTCCTCAAAAGTGCGGGGATATTCCCCAGTGTTTGAGTTGGATGGGACTATAGTGGCGTTTACACCGACAGGAGATTCCCATTGCCGGCTGTGGGAAACTACTGTCGGTGTAAACGCCATTCATATTCCTGCGTCACCCCTGTGGGGACGCCCTTACTCTATGGTGCCGAGCTTATCAATTTGGATATCAATGGAATCAAAATCTCTTATCGATCGATGAAGAACTAAATTACCCCGACCCGGAGAGCGTCTTTGGAATCAAAGCAGTAGCACATGACGCATGACTTCAGGCAAATAAATCCTTCTTGTCTGAAATAAAACATTTGTGTATTGATAAGCACGTTTTATAAGCAATGGTAGCAAGATTCTCCATGTATTTGGTTAAAGTGATAATTTAGTAGCAGAAACTTACCGTCGCATTTCGTTTTTTGGATTAATAATTTATATTGCCAGAACTAGCAACATGTCTCTTCACTCAACAATAATTACAAAAGTGAAAAAGAAATGATAAATTGCTTATATTTTGGTGAAACTAAAAATAAATTCAGCACATATTTTTTTTACAGCGTTGAAGTCCAGCTCCAAAGGACAGCTGACGATCGTAGCCGAGCAGGCTGTTTGGTACTTCTTCACTACTTCTTAAAAGTACCCGTTAGTACCGATCATGTCTCACATAATAAGCTATTGGAACAAAAATATCCATGTTCTTCTAATTATTCTCCTTTCACACTTTAAATAAATACTTTAGAAATGCATTTACTAATTAATTTCACAAAAACGGCTTGAAATTTTACAACGTCAAAATACTTATTCCAATTTCCACCACGAAACCACCACTATATTACTTGCTTACAGACCCGTGCGCACAGTGCGCGCAGTTTTATCGTGACGTCAGAGGGTGCTTCCTCAGTGGCGCCCCCTGGCGGGGAACGCGTGCAAAAAGTCCAGCTCTTAGGCATGTCCCAGACATGTCAACAGTAGCATGGATTTTTTCCAGTCTGGCCTCCATTGGATATAGCGGTGTAATATAATGCCTAGTTAATACTCATAACCAAACGGTAACAAATGGTGGGATAACTTGACTGCATTAGAATGGTTTTTTCATGGCATTGATTGGAACCGCAATTTTCATTCCTTGCAAAATGAAGATAAGGATGAGGATGATGAGTTGCACATAAATATCAATGTTTGTGCAGTTACACGTATATCTTCAACTATACAATTTTCTAGCCTGTCCCCTCGGCCCGCACCTCACACCAGTGTTGCCGCGGCCAGATTTTACAGCGTACCAGGATCGCATCTAATTCGTACCAGATTGGCTGTTTCTGGCTGCGTAGTGCGTACCGTACCAGATCGCAGTAAGTCAACTTGTTATTAATTCAGTACTTTAAAATAGCCACAATTTCGGTATATTCATGCCAGCAAGTAATTTATGGCTCATTTGACCCCGTAGTTCGACCCATTCGTCTCCCCGCGTCGCTCCTTGAAAGGCAGAAAGGCCGAAGGCGCTCTTCTGAAAGCTCCCGAATTGTATCCTACTTAAAATTGGCATAAAAATAGAGAAATCGAAATCCTGCCTTCGAGAGGGGGTACTCCAGTTGAGACTGGCGATTGCACCCAGGATCCTAGCTTACACCCATAATCCGAAAATTGCCACAGTGATATTGCCCAGCCTGCAGCCGGCGGACCGTCCTTGGCGATTGGCAATGGTACTTGGCAGCCGGCGTGGCGCGCGAATTTCACACTTGTTTACTTCTGCTAGCACACAACAGGAATAGGTATTAATAATTCTGAATCCGATGCATGACAAATTATGATGATAAATTTAGAAGCACCATCCCTCTGGACTAAAAGAATTGTTTTGTCTTTTACTTATATTGAAAGAAATATTAAAATGCCAAAAAATGCATTTCGACGAAAAAGTACCAGATTTCGTTTAGGCGTACCCAGTAGGGTTGTTCAAAAAAACCGAATTTTGGAAAAGTATACGGGCTCATAGCTCATGTGGTGCGGTATTCTTTGCTGAGTCCAATGATGCCCTTTTTTCTGAAAAGTATCAACTGTTAGGGGTTCCTCAAACGGCTTAAAGAGGACCATGTTACGTCCGCCTACCGGCCGGTGTCCATAAGGGCGAGAATTCGACGCCGCGCACGGGCGGCAGCGCCTTATCGGCACCGCGCGCCACGACATCTGCCGGGCGGCCGGCCGGGCGGTGGGAAGTTATAAGTGGGTGG